TACTTCCGTGTGTGAATCTGGGCAGCTTGGTTCACCTATGGCTAACTGTCATACACATGGAATGGTATGTGCAGGTCTGTGCTAAGCTCTTGGTAGGAGTGTAGAAATGCTCAGAAAGTGTTGGTTGTTTCCCCCGAGATTGTTAACGTGGACTGTCGAGCTCGCAACTGAAGCCACAATGCTCAGTGCTGTGGCAGGTGCTGTGATAGAGTCCAGGTGTCCCTTAGGGAATGGCCTTCATTCCCTACCAATGGGAATGCGGCTGGAAGATGGTCCCCAGCTGCAGGCCACCTCCACACCCTAGATTTTCTCAGCAGGAGCCCAGGTCACACCAGCTTGTTGGGGAGGGAGCTGCATCCAATGACCGATCAGTGGGCTGGTATAAAGGGAGGCCCTTTCACTCCACCTGGACCACCCCATTTTAGGGGGGCATCACACGTCGGCCTCTCCTTCTGCTCACGCTTAATCGAGAGAACTTTCTAAGAACTTCCTCCTGCATGTTAATTCCCAGCTCAAAGTCGCATCCTAGGGAACCTAACCTGCAACTGCTCAATTTCCCTCCCCCAGTTACATTTATTTTAAAAGAACAACAAGGAAAAAGTGGGGGAAGGATTCATCTTGGACATTCTCAGAGCTAAAATATGAGAAGCTAGAAACATACTTCAGGTCCTGGGGCTCCTCAATCCCAGTTCCCAAAATTTTTAGAGCGAGAGCCCGAGCTGTTCAGAGAGGTTAGGAAACATGGCCCAAGCAAAACGTGAAGGAAGCAGCAGAAGCTAGAAGAGGGTCCCAGCTCTAAGGAGAAAGCGGAGGAGACTGCATGTTTCCTGAGCCTGCTTCCTGCAAGCAGGAGGGGTCGTCATTCCCTGTTCCTGGCTTCTCTCCCATGGTGCCAGTGAGGCGCGGGTGGTGCCTCTGGGGACAGAAGACACCATGAATGGGCCACTGCTATCCCATGGAGACCATGGGGAACAAGGACAAGGGAGGAATTCTGCCTGACCTCTGGCTCCTGATGACAAGGGGCCCGAGTGGCCATCTGACTCACAAGGCCAGGCTGGGTCCTCTGGAGCTCTCCCTGAACAGCAGCTACACGGTTCCAAGGACACACAGGTGGTTGTCAAAATGCCAAGGGGGGAGGAGTGGACACACCAGGCCACCTGCCCCACAGGGCTGGGCTAGAAGTGTGAGAAGTTCCAAGCTCGTGCCGTGCCAGTACCCCTGGTTAATAGTCTGGGCCTCTTTAAGAAGAAGGCAGGAGGCAGTGCCCGCCAGAGAGGTGTCCTCCACTTCTGCTACTGCAGCACTTTCCTCTTGATGAGATAATGGAGAGCAGGAAGCTGAGGAGGTGAAGGTAAGGTTGGGGCAAGGTGGCTGCGGAGGACTTCGTTCTCTTGTGCTTATCACCTGATTCCAAATGCACACTCCATCAGGCCACGGGTGTGGGGCAGCCCGCTCCATATATGCGGTTCGTGCTTCGGTTGTGACAGGCTCTTCTTTGAATATTATTTTTTAATTTTTACTTCCCTAAATGTTCGAAATGCACCGAAGTACCCCCCTCCTCAGCTTTAGCATCCAGTTCAAAGACAAACTCCTCCTCGGCTGTTTCAAGGATTAGAATACATACATGAGCCAAAGCTCCCACTATGTAGAAAGAGCAGGAGGAAAGGGGAGGTGAACGTTCGGTCCCCACCTTCCCCGCAGGCTGCACCCAGCAGGCCAGCTCCCTGGAGGCAGGCCTATGCAGCTGCACATGCTCAGAAGGCCACACTCTTGTTTCACGCTTTGTGGTTGTCTTGGAATTCTTAACCATTTTTGAATAAGAGTCCCACCCTCCCTCTTATTCTGGGCCTCACAGGTTATAGAGTTGGTCGTGTATCCGCTATAGGTCTCTTAAACTCTGCAGGGTCAAAGGATGCTTGTGCAGGAACTGCCCTGGCGGGAGTGTGCACGTCCTGGCTCTGCCCACTCGCCTTCCCACCAACGCCCAGCAGATGTCCTGGAGAGCCAGTGCCGATGTCCTGAAGCTGCCCTGAGCGCCAGCCACAGATCGGGCCTTTCTCTACCTCGCAACGGGCGATGCTTCCCAGAGTCAGAGACCACCCCCACCCCATCTCTGTGCCCAGCACCTTCTTCCCTTCTTTCTGAGACTTCACACCCAGCAGCAAGGATAAGAGGTTCCCTCTTATTTCTAAGCAGACATATCCTCTGGGGCTTTGCCCAGAAGCCGACATCCTGGGTTTGCGTCTCACCCAGTGCCAGTGACTAGCTATGTGACCTCAGCAAGTTACTGACTCTGCTGGGATCCTCAGAAAAACTTCTCTGGTCGGCTCTGGGGCTCAGTGACATGATGATACCCACAGAAGCCTCCAGCACAACGTCAGACAAAGAGCAGATCATAACCCGCCTCAATTCACTGACTTAAAACACAAGGGCAGTACTAGCACCAGGAGACTGCTCAGGAATCTGCCAGGATTATAAATTCTAACACCTAACACTGGGTGGCCCATTCAGGTGGGTATTGCTCAAGAAGAAATTAGATGGAGACACTCTTCTTCACAAGAGGAAGAGCAGACTTTGAAATCGGCAGTCTGCGGTTTGAGACCCTGCTCAGACCGTGGCTGCATTGGTCACCTGCTCCGAGCCTGGTTAGTTCATCAGCAGAACGGGGGCGATGACAAGGGTAATGAGAACGAGAGCTCACATGTGCTGACTGTGTGCCTGGCATTGTACTCTCCAAGCAATCCTACGGAGAGGTACTATTACTATCTTCATTTTCCAGATGAATACACTGAGACATAAAGAAGTGAAGCAATTTTCTCAAAGTCACAACAACCCTCCCAGGGTTACTGGAAGGCCAAATTAGAAGATGCACGTGGAGACGGTACTCCGGACACCACAAAGCTAGGGGGCTATCATGTGCGTGGCGATCCAAGGCTCATCAGGAATTGCCCATCACTGCCACCACTTTCCTCTGGCTCCAGAGCCAAGCAGTGGGCAAAGTCATTCCTCCTACACCCCCGCTCTTTCCTTCCTATATTCCTTACCCTCACCCCATGCCCTTCTCTTCTCTCCATAAACAGCTGGTGCAGCAGCCGTCCACCACCCAGTTCTCAGGCTTCCCATCTTGAGGCTGTTGTGGATGGATGCATGAGAGGCTGGATCGCCAGGCACACTCAGGATATCCTCCTCCTCTCGCCCCCACCAGCAACCGTTCTCACTCCACCCCTTCCTCTCTTTCACTCAGCCTGCCTTCTCCAAACAGGAAAGACATACAGTCAGCGCTGGGTAACTGCTTCTAATCACAGGTGACAGCAGGAA